ATGGTCTTAGAGCAGGTATTACTCGGAGATCAGGGGACCACAGCCCCACAAAGGTTGGGTGCTTCTGCACTAACCCCCTCACATTCCTAAAATATACTCAGGCGGGCTGAAGCTGCCATGCATAGACTCTGCTCGGAGGCAGAAATGGGGCTGGCCTCCCTACTTCCAGAGAGGCAAAGTGGCAGGTGGGGATTGCAGGCAGCACTGCCGGGGCAGGGGAGGGCACTCAGGGGGGGAGAACCCAGCTTTTCAGGAGCCGCAGTCAGAACCAGCTGAACTGAACGCAGGAGAGGGGCAGCGGGGGGAAGGGGAGGGGGGCAGCGCCCCCGGGGGTGCTCTGCAAGCTGCGCTCCTCTGCCCACAGCCTGCAGACCTGCTGCCTGAGGAACTGCCCGGGGGCATGGGAAGGGATGGCCTCACTCAGGCCCTCCATTTACAGCGGTAGAACAAGTCCAGTAGAGGCTTTTGCTGCATCCCAGCTCCTCAAGTACCCCGGCTGCCCTTCAGTGGAAATGGCTCCCCTTGAATATAACTATTTGTACCACAAGTCCTCCCTCTTCTACCCCAACTCAGGCAGTAAAAGCCCCCAAACACTCCGAGTCCCTCTCATTTCCTAGATTTTGTGAAAGCCCCAACACCCTGTTCCCCCCCCCTCCCCATTTTCAAGCTAAAATATTTATATACAAACAACAAAAAAATTGTCATAACAGCAACAAACCAAACTTTGGCTTGGGGGAAAAAAAAGTAAAAAACCAACAATAAAACCAGAAAAAAAAGTGGCCAACAGGCTGGCAGTTTGGTGTCCTCTTTATCTGTCTATTCCTCCATAGAATCAATTGCTTCAGCATCTCTAGCTTAACTAATGGCTTCCCCATTCTTCCCATTAGAGGTGCTGTGCACAGAGAGGCTCCATGTGTCACTGGGGAAGAGCTAACATGTGTGGTTGCATGTGGCTGGGCCAGGACACCTCCCCAGGAGTGGAACCTCCACTTGGTGATGTTGCTTAGTGTTAAATGCAGGAAGTTTCCTATTCTGTATCAGTGGTGGACGGAGAAGCACATGTACAACAGGAGTTGGAAAGGCTTCACCAACAAACCCACACTCCAAGCTGCCCTTCTGGGGGCAGTGGCTCACCCCAGCACCAACTGATGGAGTCGAGGCAGCCTAATAAAATTAGGGTTCTGCACTTCTCTACCAGGTGGTGAGCACTGCCTCTAACCACTGGAGTTACTGGGAGCACTCCAAGAGCCAGCAGCTGAGTAGGGAGGTCTGGAGAGCAGCAACTCCCCCTCACACCACAGCTCACACTGTCATCTAAATGTGCTATCTTTGAAACACAGCGAATTTGATGTATGTGGGAGCAGAAGGGAGATGGTCTTGGGAGTTGTGGAGCCTTCTGCTAAATAGTCTCTATGCTTCTTCTAATATGTAGTGTCTATATGGACTCAGCAGACCAGGTGCACAACTTTCTACGAGAGGCTGGGCAAAACAAACCCAGGGGCTCCAATGCAGCTATGTAAGGGCCTGACATAGCTTGTGGTAGGAAGTTCCTATGAACTCAGAGCTTGCACAAGCTGCTTCTGCCAGAAACAAAACCACTTCAGGATCACATTTAGATATAAAAGATCCTCTTCCCCCACACAAACCCACATGCTTGTCCCTCACCTCAAGTAGCTTATACATGACTGTTTTTACCTTACTCATGTTGTTTGAAATACATTACTTGCAGAAGCACCTAAGCAGCTCAGGATGAACAGGAGCAGAGACCTTGCACGCTGGGCCTCAGAGCATCTGCCATGCTCGACTCTTCTGCTAAATTTCTTCCTCTGCAAGGCTGCACATGCTTCACCTCTGCAAGTTTAACCACTTGCTGTCTGCAGCAGAGGTACTCTGCCTGATCCTGCACTGCATCTGCCACTTCTCAAGGAACGGGACAGCAAGGGAGAAAGATCTTGAAAAGGAGGAATGAAAACTAAGATAATTATAGCCACCAGCAATGGACAACGATCAGCTAGTAAAAGTTCTGTGTGTGGGGGAAAGGTCATCCTCATCAAAAACTTCTTCCAAAGTCTTGTCCCCTATACAGCAGATAACAGCAGAAGTCTTGGAGCAGGTTGAGGGACTCTTCTCTTCTGAAGTCTAAAATTCTGACACTGCTGAAGCTGTCCCAAACCTGTGCGTGTCAGATGATGACAGGAACGAGGAAAGTCTCTGCATTTCCCCCATTTCCAAATGTAAATGACTATTTCCCACCAGCATTTAGGTCCCAGCCGCAGCCAAAGAGTGCTTCCTTCTGCAGACCAGAAACACGGCAGGTGGAGACTTCTCCCTCACGTCCTTCTGTCTCACAGGCACCAAGCACCAGACCCAGGGAAGTAACTCTGTCTGCGTGTTCCTGATTAATTGCATGATATCAGTTTCTAACCGCTTTCCTTATCACTAATTGCCTTTTCCGTGATTGGTAGGATAAGCTATGCACCAACATACAGACACGGAAATGCATTATTTTTACCACAGTTTAAAAAAAAAAAAAAAAAGAAAACAAAAAAACCCACAAAACAAAAAAAAAAGCACAATCTTTGGAACAAAAGAATTAAAGGCAGAAATTTAAAGGAAAAAAAATACATATTCAAAGAACATAGTGAGGTATAAAAAAGTATTTTCTCTTTTGTTTTTTTGTTTTTCCTCCTCAACTTGCTATAGAGTTCCTCTACTAGTAAATATTGCAATAGCCAGGCCTCATGACTTGGGGGGGCTGTCCCACTTGCAGGGGGCTCACGTCACTTCAGTAGGGGGCAAATCGGCTGTAGCCACCTCGGTATAAACTCGCCTGTAGAAATGAAACAGGAGAAGAAAAGGTTGTTAGGAGAACTGTGAAGTGATACCTAGGACAGCACCCAAATGCTTTTGGAAGGACCAATGGACCTGTCCTGGCACTGGCCCACCACCATCAGCACCTCTAAGAAGCAAGAGAGAACTCTGTCTGCAAATCCAAAGACGTGGCTCAGGAGAACATGCTCATGGCCAGCCAAGCTGGAGGCGAAGTTTGGCAAGTCTTAGTGGAAGGGAGCTCAGTACCAGAGAGGGGATTCACGAGTCCTAATCTCAAGCTACATTTTTAGGCTGCCTTTATAGATAGACAGCAGACACCAAGACTTCTAGGATGCTCTTTACCTCACCTTAGGGTGATATGATGACCGGGTACCCTAGAATCACCTGCTTTTCCCTCACTGACCCTAAAAAGAATCCACATGATGAGCTGAGGCTGAAACAGAGGTGCTACACTGCAGTTATCTATTTTTAGGTGTCTTTTTCTCTGAACACATTTGTATTCCAGCCTCTGCAACAACTTAGCTACTGCGCTGGCTAGCAGATGGGCAAGCGTGTGTTTTCACCAAGCTGCTCCACTCGTCTCTGATGCCAGCATACCTCATTCCTACCCTTGCGTAACTACTGCTGGCAGGCAGGACACCGCATCCTTCCACTAGTGGAAGAGGGAACCAAGTGAAGCAGCTTTGCTGCAAGATGTCACAAGAACAACTTATTCCCTTGCTTCCTACAATGGAAAATGGCACAAAAGGGTGTCTTGAATCTCAAACTATTGCTGATTTTTGCTCTATATATCACTTTGATACAGTTCTACTGATTCACCAGCAGTGTTCTGGCTCCTGGCACTTCTGGTCAGTTTTAATTTTCATTTTTTATTGTACTAGCTGATGTGCAAGACCAAGTAATAACTGGCCTCCTACAACCTGGTTCCTTTCTTAGTGCACACACACATATGAATGCAGAACAACTGGGAACCCAGCACTGCAGCTAAGGACCTCCTCCCTCAACACAAAAGTCTTTCTGGGTGAAGTTTCATTGCCTTGTACCCAGTGAACAGCTGTTCCCCACGCTGGAAATGAGAAACAGCACAAGAAAGAAAATCCCACTTACCACAGCGCCAACTCCGTAGCTAGCGGCAGGGGCAAGGGCATGGTAAGGATCTGCTGTGTACACCCTGCCATAACTGAAGAGAGGGAGAAAAGATATAAAAAGAAAAAAGTCACTCGGGAGGGGCAGAGAAATAGCTGTCTGACCACAGGTAATGGAAGAAGCAGCATGCCCTTCCACACACATGTATGCACACATGCACACACAGGCACGCAGGCAGCCTCTCTGTGAAGAGAACCAATGGGCATGCTGCCATGCATCGGTATGAGATGGGCAAGAGAACGGCCTGCATGGAGGGATATGGTAGAAGCCATGAGCTTGACCTGTGGGGAAGACGTCATCGCCTTTGAAATGACAGCTAGTATATCCCTTACCTCACGTGATGCAATTTGGGAGGAGAGTGACTGCTGGCGCTAGCGCTACTGGCACGGTAACAGCTGCTACATGGAAAGCAGTGAGGGATTCTCCATAATGAAAAGAGAGCATAAACTTTAATGGTCTCGCATGTGCTAGGATTAAAACACGGCCTCACTGCACAGGAGATGAAAAATCTCAAGGCAAGCACTCTGGTGATGACAATCCTTTGTATCTATTCAGAGCTGCATGTTACAGCATCCTAGAGCACTGCATAAGCTGAGTCATTTTTACTTTATGGATGGGGAAAGAAATGCACCCAGTGATTAAGCAACCTGCCCAGAGTCACAGAGCAAGGAAAGCCAGATCTCTGACTCTGAGGCTGTAACCGCACTGCCTCCTTTGTGCAGAGAATCACAAGGATAGGGAAGAGGCTAGGATTTGTGCCAGCTCACATACACCGGAGTGCAGTACTGTCTGGGAGTAGAGACAAACCGTGCATTCAAGTCTTTCGTGTTGGGTTGTCCATGCATGTGTGCGCATGCGAGTGCAAGAAAGACCAAAAAATGGGGGAAAGAAGTAGAAGTTCTGTAATGGATCGATGCTCCTTGAATCCCTGAGCACAGCAAGCTAACCCCCATGGACACCTGTCCCTTACATACCCATCGCTGTAAGCTGCTGCAGCGGCTGCAGCGGCCGTGGCTGCTGTTGCAGTAGCAGGTTGTGCATATCTGTAGGCTGCGTATCCACCCTGCAGGAGAGAAGAGAACTGACTTTACAGATACCTGTCCACCCACACAGAGCATAAAAAAAAAAATTTAAATAAAAGTCACACACATCACAAGGAGAGGAAGTATTTCAAACTGCATCAGCTCCCATGTCTTGTCTATCGCAAGCATCACCCATTAACTCATGTAATATTCCTTTCCTTAGAGGGACCAGGGAGGCTCTTCCACTACTCTGTTTAGCAGAAAAAATATACTGAAGAAGACTAAGCATGGTTATAACCCTGCAGAAAATGCACTTTGGCATGGAGGAACTGAAAACCAGAATAGACCTGAAATCTTGCATGTAACGTAATTTTAATGGTCCCTTCCTCTTAAGCTGGAGAAATTAGAGGTGGACACTTTCTGTGAAGTGTGTATTTTAGAAAGGGGACCGTTAAGAGAAATTCCTGCATTTATTTATTATTATTTTTTACCTCTCTTTTTTTAAGCCTGGAAAACACAAAAGACTAGAATTTAATTTAGTCCACATGTGCAAAAGTACCAATAGCCAGAGAAGCAAAAGAGCAGTCAGGAAAAGACGGTCAGAGAAGACAGTCCCTAGTGGGTTCAGGGCTGTCAACAAGCAAACAGACAAGGAAGCCAATCAGACTGTTCTACCTTCCCCTCCATATGAAAAGGACATAGGTCAAGGGAAATTATTCCAGAGCAGTCTGTACTGCTGCTGCTTTTCTGCCCGTGCTACACACTGTAGCAAAGGGGCTTACACTGAGCAGAGGTAGTTACTAAAAATGTGCTTACAGCTGTGTTGGCAAAACATGAATCCTGACTCAGAGAAAGACCTGTGAGTCTTCTCCTGGAACTCCCACAAGGAGCTCCTGGGGCAGAGCAAGGCTTGGCCCAGGCTCTGCACACCCTGCAGTACTGAAGGGTCAAGGCCAGCCACCTTTCAGACAAGGGGCAAAGGTGGCACAGCAGGAAGCAAAGGGGACTCTGAAGCCCTGGTTAGGTCTTTCCTTACTGGACACTTCTGAACACATTTTTGTTAACTTACAGGGGAAGGGGGAATGGTAAATGAACCATGGCTTTGACTTGCTTGAAACACAATAAGCCATTAAAAAAAAAAAAATAAAAAAATTCGGGATTGTTTCTGGCCTTTTCTTTTCTTTTTTTCTTCCAAATGACATTTCAGGTTTTGAAGGAGCAGAAGGCAGAGTTATGCTCTTCACCTCCAGAATCAGTTCAACATACCTCTACCACTTATATATCCTTTGCACATATGTAACTAAGAGTACAAGATCAGCTCTACCACAGAACTGTGTTTGCTCAGCAGTGCTCAGTTTGGGGTTAGGTAGCTTTTTAAATTAGAAGTAATGATTTTAAACTAATTTTGGTTGCTTTTGTGGGGCCCGCGTTAGTCCCATGGAGGCTAACATGCTATCAAAAACATGTTTGCAGACCCCTTCCTACTCCAGAGGAGAGGGACCTGCAGCCTCTTTAATTTTCTAGTTAACAGAAGAAAAAGTAACCCATATCTACACCTGTGAAACATCACCACATGACCTGGAAGAGGTGTAACGTTGCAGTTTTGCCCTTTTAATCTCACTTGGCTGTTTCAAACTCTGCATTGTGGATTGATGGTTTGGGGATCCTTAGCTTGGTTTTGTCATGGTATCACTGCACCATTATTTCCACCTCCAAAACATGATGGAGGCAACCGCAATGAGGCGCAGCCTTAATCCAAACCAAACCGTCAGCGATCTCACCAAATTAAAACAAGACTTCATATCATTGTTATTGAGTTATTCCCTTAGGTTTATCAGCTTCCTGAACCCTTGATCTGTTACTTGGGCACAGCTAAGAGGCACTTTCTCCTGGCACCACCCTCTGCAGGGCAGCTGACTTCAGCATGCACCCTGATTCCCACCCTGCCCCACACTTGCCAGTCACATTTCTGATCAGAAGCCACTTCAAATGTGCCTGGCACATACTCTGAACATGACAGCAAGATGCAGTTTGAAACCAAAAAGGCTTATCATGTAATCATCTTTTAACTCATGTCTCTCATAAAGGAAAACGAAACAAAAACAAACCAAAACAAAACAAAAAAAAAGAAGAAGAAGAAGAAAAGAAGGGTTGGAATCAGGTGTGGGGGGGGAATGGCGTAACATTTATTAATCAAAATTAAAAACTAAGCATGCTGACATCTGGAGCTAGAACAACCAGCAAAGTCACCACGTTCAGACTCATATTGGCTAGTTCTATCCATCCCAGCATTCTCTTGGGACAGCAGTTCGCCCTAGGCTCTACCACAAGCTCAGTGAAGTACACAGCCTCAAGTACTAGAGCGTGCAGCCACAACAACCTGCTATTACGGAAACAGTCAGTCACCACTGGAGTTAACATTCCAACCTTAACGACTCCCGCAGCCTCCCGCCCTCGCCCCCCAAAATGGCTCCCACCCTAGCCCTGTCCCACACCACAATGTTAATAATTATAACAAGCAATAACCCATCTGTTATATCAGAGAAGGGAACAGAGACTCCACTGAGAGATTTAGAGCGGGATGTTAACATTTCTTCAGTCAACTGCACAACAAACAAAAAGAAAAAAAAAAACAGGAGAAATAATTCATTGGAGAAATGAAGTTAAGAAATAGCTGACGTGTATTGCTTTTTAACCATGCACTGATGCAAAATTGAAGCTACTGGTTATTTAAAAAAGGAAAAAAACAAAAAAATCTCAGGATAGAGGTACACACGTACAGGCAGACCTGCTCAGTTCAAAGTGATCTGCAAAGTCTACTTATGTGTACTTCAAATAAAACCAAAAATGGGGATTATAATGGCCATGGTGCATTCCTGTCATAGGAGCAATGAGTGGGGACAGCTGGGAGATTTCTGACACAGGGATGTATTTAGCATGACCAGCAGGTCCAAATACACCAAAACAGGGTGAAAGAAAGAGGAGGAACTATTGCAACTATTATTCATTATTTCATAAATCCTTTCACCAAGCTCTGGGACCTGTACAGAGCAAAGCAGACACTGTACAGGTTGCCTCATCCAGCTGATGCTCCTGTTCTTCATAACCCAGTGCCCACCTACATAATTCCATAAATGCATCTAAAGCCCTGCTCAGTTTGTCCAATGCACCAGATATTTTCTCCTGCTATTCCTGTTCACATAGAACTTTTAACTGATATGCAGAGCTCATCTGTAACCTCAGCTGCATAGTCCTAAAACCCCTAGTGATTTCTGGTGCCACTCACTTCAGGTACTCCAGTAAATATAAACTATAACAGAGTAGAGCATCTGCAATAAAGAGGAATAATCACGTTTACCAATTAAATAAATAATTATTTTAAAAAAAAAAAAGGCCCTTGCTAGCTTCACCACATTCCTCCAGTGCCACACAGCCAAACTGCAACAGAAGACACCACTGAGTGACAGAGTGCCTGAAACCCAGGACAGCCATGCAAACTCCCACTCCAATCTATTTGATTCCACAGGGACAGGTTGCCCACCTAGCTTCATTTTTTTAAAATCTTTAGCCTCATCTCAAAAGAGATGAGTCTGTCTGAGCTGCTTGCAAAGATGTTAAGTCAGAGACCTTTCCATTACTGGGACAGTTTAATCACTGCCTACACAAGGAAAGAGGAACTAATGAGAAGGGTTATGCATTTTTACTGGGCAGTAACAACCAAAAGGACTGTGTAAATCAAGATTATACAGGCTTTTGGATTGTCTGGGGAACATGTGAGAGAGGAACACAAGCCTAGATGTTGCTTATATTAATTCAAAGTTCTCTTTCTCTGGCTATCTGGCCAGTGTTGCTGGGACTACGCTGAACCCTTTCCCCATATAGCACTTGGGCCTTCAGACCTCAACTGCCTGTATTAGTCAGGTATTCACAAAAGCCCAAATTTAAAATGATTCTTCTGCAATGTTACTGTCCTTGGCTCATCAACAAAGCAATTTATTTTTTTTTAAATTCCTTCTTTAATGTTAGATGACAGCTTTTTCAGTACTGTCTTATATTCTCTGAAATAATACAAACATGGAAGAACAACATACACAGGAAGCTGCAATCCCAACTAAAGCAGCATTCCAATTACTGAGCATGTTAATGTAAATAAATGAGCACAATGCAATTCAGCTCAAAATAAGTCCATCTTCTCTTCCACTCTTCAGGTCCATATTAGGTGATCAATCCAAAGAGAGCGGGAGGAAGTCCAACACTACAGCTTACTATGCCAGTGTATCCTATGGTATAAGCCTCCTTTTTTTTTTTTTTTCCCTTCCTGCCTTAGACAGGCACACAAAGTATGTTGCTGGCCCTCTTTACTTCAAAGAGCCTTAATACCCCTAAGGCACAAGCACACACATAACCCTGGAGAAACGTGTAACTCATGGTACCAGTTAGATACGTTCGACCACCTGCCAAGTTTAGGCAGCGAGCCCAATTTTAGGATCTTCTATTTGTCATCTCTCAAATGTGTCTTCTCCACCCCCAAACTGCCATATAACAGAATTTAAGAAGCAGAAAGGGCTAGAACCCCTTCTGGTATTTCTGTATTAGAAGGGTGGCATATGTGCACCAGGAATGAGCATGAATGAATTAAAAGAGGTGACAGGACAACGGTGTCCATTGCAGCAGGTGCTTCTAACATGGTAATGGGACAAGCATGACCTTGTTAACCCTTCCACTGAATTTATGTTTTGTTGGTTTTTTTTAGTTTTTGTTGTTTTGGTTTGGGTTTTTTTTATTTTGAATGAAATGCCACTCAGTATGAAATCTGGACACACGCCACCCTGCTACAGCGGGGGCTTGGATCACACGTGAGTCTGCGCTGCCCTAAAAAAGCCTCTGTTCCCATCTCTAATGTGGTGCTGGAATGGTTAGTATAATTCAGTTTGTTCCACTGCAATCCACAATCTGATTGGTTGGCAGGTCACACTGGCACTCCTACCTGAGGTATTTTAGCGCTAATGATTGGTTCCTGTAAGACTATTCTATAACAGAACACAGGAAGAGCAGTTCAAAAAAACACAGCTGTGGAAAGAAACAATCATACAAACAGCCCGCAGCGGGGCTCACCAGCCTTTTCTTTCCAGTGGATGCAAGCACGCTTTTCACAGGCAGGAGCGGTCTTCGCATGGGTGGGTTTTTTGGGTTTTCCCCCCGCCACCCAGATTGACCCCATTGTAGAAGAAAGATAACCTTTCTTATGATCCGAAATGAAGCCCTCTGCATCCTGGGGCAGGTTGTTTTATCAATTCAGGTGTCTTGCCAGAGTGGGACGCATCCAACAACAGATGGAATGCCTTCTTCATAGAAGAAATGGCTAGCAGGATGGTTGCCCCAGGAAAGAAAAAAGGAGTGAGGAAAAGGAGGAGGAGGAAAATGAGAAATTGGTGCGTAGCATATATGCAGAAAAAGCAGCCCAAACTTGGGACACTTCCCTTTCATCTTGCCTATGACTAACCACTCCCTGCCAGCTCAGCTCCTTTTTCTACCCTTCCTTCACACAACCCTATGGGTTCAGGCGTCCTAAGAGAACCTCAATTTAACTTCCCCCCAGTCCTAACTAAGTATCCTCTGCCATCCCTTCCAGAATCTGGACAAGTCTATCACACCAACCAGAGGGATGGAAGCACTGCAGTGAAAAGCACGACAAATCAGTGGGGCACAGGGACACTGCAATCATTCCACCTGTGACAAAGAAATTGTTTGGAAAGGCAATTTCAAGTTTGGATTATGATAACTTTTTCCTGAGCTCCACTGGAGGGCTTTGAGCAGCAATAACACAGGAAAAAGCACCACCATCTACCTTGATGGAGTTCCCTCTTCTATCAGCCTGCTTTCTGACAGAGAGACCATAGCCACCAACAGCAGTCATCAGAAGTCCACCTAATGGTTCTAACCTGACTTGGGGGCTTGCTTTTGTGTTACGTGATGGTAGTGCACTGCAGCACCAAGTCGTTACGGATATTCTTCATTACTGAAGTCTCTGTCCTTAAAACATGTTAAGTCTCTCTCCCCACCTGCAACAGAAGCTCTGAAGGAGCTTTCTCAAAAGAAGCAGGGAGTAACCCTGGCCAGTCTTTCCTTTCAATGTGGCAGACTCTTACACGCCACACTGAGGGAAGAGGCACTAAGCATCACTCATTTTCTTGGTTACTTGCTGTAGCAAAGTCAGTGGTGGGTAAAGCTAGTGTTTTAGGTGTGAAGCAGGAAAACCCAGAATCTTCTGTAGTCCTTGACACAGTTTTATAAAGAAACACTTGACTAGGCAGATCAATTTTTAAAGGACTGCACACATAACAGTATATGTAAGAATGAAGAAATGCACCCAGTATCTCTATGCTCAGAGAGCACATCTTCCAACTGGTGTACCTGGGCTGGGAAAAGCACCTCTACAAGACTTGATCCTCTACATAAGCCAACAAAATCCAAAAGCTAGTTCCATCCATTATCCTGAGTGTAACCCCAGGATCCTCTTTATAAATGTCAGGAATAGCACCTTCAAAGGAATGGGAATGTGAAATTCATGCTGACAACTGTGTCACTACCCAGTACAAAAACTTCCCCAGCTCCAAAGAGCTATGACCTACAATATCACAAAAGGAAACTCTGCTAGAGCTAGGCAGGCCACAAGTTGCAATGGCAGTAGTGAACCTGAACATATTTGCTTTGAAAGGCATATTCCTGCTCTGCAACAGCTCTCCCCCTCCCACTTTTCTCACTGGCCAGTTCAAATACCTCCATCTACAACCCACCTAGGTAAACAGAGTTGCCCTGGAGATTTGCAATACAGACTGACTGGGTAGGACAAAGACAATGACAGGACAAAGTCTCCCATGGTACCACAGCTAATTCCCAGACAGGAAGAGGCTGCTGACTCTTGTAACCGAACATCTCAACATATTTGTACTCTACAATTCCCCAAAGAGATGAGAGAATCTAGCCTATTTAGGTACCATTTCTACTAGCAAAATCAGATGTCAGTTTTCACTCTAGCATCTCAGTCTCCATTTTTAATCAGTCCCAGTGTCTTCCCCAAAGGGAAAATCTCCACATCCCAGTGGCACATGAACATTTTTAAACATACAGCTTGCTCAGTTTAGTGTGGGCTGCACAAATCAAACCTGAAAGGGCCCCAAGAGGGAAGAGAAAGGGGAGGGTGAAGGGGGAGAAGGAAAGGGAAGGTCTGAGGCTAAACCAGTCCTGTTATTTTTATATTCAAATTATGAGAGAAGTGTTGAGAGAAATTTTAATTTGCTAGTCGTCTCTCAGGCTGATTAGTATCAGTGTGCGTGTGGGGGACAGGACACCCAGTGAACTGACCCTGGCAATGATCAGGAAACCCAAAGGCTTAGGTCTTGCACCCAGGGGCAAGCGCAGTGACAGAGAAGCATGCTTGCATTCCTAAATATATAAATATATATATCCACAAGGAAGAAGAAAATTAAAGTAAATGATATTTAAAAAAACAAACCAAACCAAACAAACAAACCAAAAGAAAAAGAAAACAAAACAAAAAAAGGCTGGCTTGTCAGGGGTTGGGGACGAGAAGGCTCCGGTGTGTGTACTTACATAGAGGTCAGCACCGTAAAATCCGTCCTGGTAAACCACACTGCAGAAAATCCACACAAAAACAAAAAAACAAAAAAACAAAAAACAAAAGAACAGAAAACACATTCCGGTTATTGAGGACGGCAGCATGCACATGCGTTTTACACAGGCAGGTGATGTATGAATCCACAACCTGGGCTTTTGGCAGGAGCAAATCAGCAAGAGAATGTGTGTGCGCACGCACGCTAGACGGCTCCAAGTCATCTTCCATGGCATGCAGAGGGGGAAGGGGCGGGCAGAGGGGGAGACAGTATGCGAAGGAGAGAGGGAGGGGAACCACCATCTTGTACCATAAATATAGACTCAAAAAGATCTGATGTCCTGAAGAAGAGAAACAAGGGTTTAGAAACCTCCACTCTTGGTTATTTTCCTGGAATGAGTTTAGTTACCCCCTAAGCATGTGGAAACATTGGCTTCCTGAAGTGGGTTTGTGAAATTGAGGAGCCCCTCAGAAGGCATCCCACGGGGGCTGGAATCACCTATGTCAGGAAGTGTGGTTCAGAGACTTGTGCCTGATTACATATTTCAGGCTTCACAGGGCTGCATGACTTTGTTTCTGACATCCATACATCACCTGCTTTTACCCTGCACATTAGACATGCGATAAGATTTGGCTGATCACACAAGCATGCAAAGTATTATTATTCAGCATCTTAAAGAACCGATGCAACACCTCAGGAAAACAAGTCAATCAATTCTGATCAAAGTAAACACAGAGAAATGTAATTGAAAAGAAAAAACCAAAAATACCCACAATGCATTGCTTTCACAAGCAGAGATAATGAGCTAAAAAGGTTAGGTGACTGGTCCAAGGTCCGAGAATTGAAAGGTGCAGTGGGAGTCCCTGGTAGTAACAACCTATTCCATAGCAGAAAGGAGCAACTGGAAGGGTTTCCATGGGATGGTGCTTTTTCTGCGTTAAGCCATAGTTTTCTTTCTCTCAGAACTTCAAGCAGGAAAACTGTTAAACAGAGCCTGGGATTCCCAAAGAGCTGCTCTTACCAGAGCATTCACTAGCTTAAGACTATGCAGCTTGCTCTGGGGACAGGGGTTGGGGAAGGATGAGGAAGGAAGAGAGGGTATGCCCCCCACCCATTTGAGTTCAGCGTGTGCTTCACATACTGAGGAATTTCCTCCTGCTTTGTCCTATCAATAGCTCCGCACAAACTTGCTCAAGGCTTTAAAAAGCATTAGCCCCACCACCTGTGATGTTCATGGATCTGATGTGTATGACTTACCCATAGCATTAAGGAAAAAGAAGGTATGGAACACTAGCTATTCTTTTGACTATTATTTTTTGCTTATCAGATGAAACGTGAAATGCTGCCAAGAGCCTGCCACCCTCAGACACCCACCTATTGTAAGGCACACACACGCAAAAAAAGCCCAGCAGATCTTGCCAAAATTCTGCATGCTATTACTAAAAAAAAATAAAATTAAAAAAAAATCTTGCCATGTTAGCTACTGCTTGAATAATTTAGTCTTGCTGTCTTCCCCAGGAAAAGTACACTCCATTCCCAATGGACAAAGTTACTGTAGTCTCCAAGAGCGCTGGGAGCAGGTATGAAGATAGAGACCCTTGTTAGAGGAAGAGGGGAGCCACTTCAGCAGGGAGAAGCAGGCCATAAGATCATGTTTGTTGAAGCTAAATTTTTACAACCACATAACAAAGAATTTGGCTCCTGGGGCAGTGACTTACATTGCTGGGTTCTCTATCTAGGACCAGGAGTGTTTTAGCAGTGATACTCCACCTGCTCCTGCAGGAAAGGCAAACGCATGACAGAGGAAGTGACTTGGTTTATGAACAGGTTATCAGTTTTAACAGTTATTCCGAACACAATCAGTTGGATGAATATAAGCATTACCACATTGGATCAGGCCGCTATTTCTGTCAGCAAGAAATGCTAGCATCAGCTCTCCAGAGAAAACTGCAAGGAACACTATTAACAGGTAAGAGTAAGACTTCCTGGATCAAAATAACCAAGCACACGTGCATCCTCCATCTCTCCTTTAGTTAGGACTTGACTGACATCAACTCGCAGGGTTGAAATTAGCAAGGTTTATTTATATGCTAGAATATCCATATTTGTTGCTTCTTAATGCTCGCAAAAAAATGAGAGAATTCCATCATTTGAGAATCACAGAGGCCATTCTGGTAATGTAGCCTGACCAGAAACATAAAGCAGTCCAGCAGCCCATCAAATCTGTGTCATCTGCAAAAAACACACTAACTGAGCTAAAACACGTCCACGGGAAAAAGAATTATGCTGGGTTTGTAAAGCAGCCAGCATATCATTTAGGTGTACCAACAGTTGACTGTGCTGTAAAAAGAACCAAAAAACCACTCCAAACCCGCAACGCTCCCTGCTGCCTTGTACCTAGTCTTTTATCTGCTGTGGCTTTGAACCTGTGAATCCTCTACATATTTACACTCCTAGACTAAATTACTCTTTACTAAGGCAAGTCCACTCTTCATATAGGTACTTAATGACCACGAACAAGTCAAAGACTAACCTACAGTTTGAGAAATAAAATTTATCAAGCTTATTTAGCTTTCAGAGTTTTACAGTAGGCAAGTTTTTATCACACTATCTAAATTCTTACAGCTTTTGGTCTGAAGTGTAATTTGTCAGCATTCTCATTTAAAAAGCGTGGCTGCTACAAATCAGGGCAATATTCCAGTACAGTTTTTACTCATGCTATATATCAGAGGTCTCCTTATTTCTACTGAGTGGTATCTCAGTTATAAACTGAAGGTGGCATTTGTATTCAAAGTCAGGCTCAGGTGACTATCTAACACCATCTCCAAGAGTCGAAGCAACTGCTTTCTGAGGTATGGATAGCCTTCCCTGGATAAACATCCATGTCCATACATAAGTATGGAAATTCCAATTACACACTGGTAAATCTTAGTTTGAGTTCTTGAAATAAATATTAAATCATTAAGAGTTATGATTTCTTGCACCTTCCTCTGGTCTAGCACTTGACACTGTCAAAACTTACTCTAACCTGAATGGCCCTCAGGTCTGATCCAGTATGGCAATACCAACGAGCTTTTATTAATCTATATTCTGTGTTTTTTAAATTCTGCTAAGCTCTCAAATGCAGTGATACCATTAAGTTTTGTAATTTAAACACCACTGAGGTTTGTGAAAACCAATTCCTTCCACCAGGTTTGAGTTAACCTGCAGCTTACTTTACCGTACTTCCACATTACTCACTATGTCTTGGTCACTCATGTGTTGCTGACTGATCTTGTAGTGTCATCTTTCCACTGGCCAGGAAGAAACTAACTGATGCAGGGCAAGGTGTCAGGAACATGTGCCTGTCCCTGACCTCATGGAGGTCAACAGTGCCCACATGGAGCAGTGGCTGTCCAGGTTACTGCAACATGGAATTGAATAGCACATTTTGTATGATTCCACTAGGAAACAAATTTGGTCTACAAAAAAACTTTTGGAGACTCAGACTATGATGACAAAAAACACCAGCAGTTAATTACACCCAAGTGCTTGGACTAGGGACAGTCCTGGGCCATCTGTGAACCTGTCTTGCTTACTGCTGCCCTTGTCAATGTTTACTACATAGTGTCCTGCCCATGAAGACATGGAATCAGTCAGCACAGTCGAAAAACTCGATGTAATGTAAGTAAATACAGACATGAGACAGTATTTGGGATGGCTAATAAATGGAGCCTGGCCCACATTCCAAATGGAAATAAACCTTTTACAGGGACTCAGGCTGGATTTATATCAAAGACAAGCCCTCCCAGTGCCCCACTCATGACAGCCTCTTGCTAGGAAAGCTTAGCCATTACTCCCAGGGATGAAGAGCACATTTCCTCTCCCTGGTGCAAATATTTCATATTCTGCTAGAAGGCAGCACTTAGCTCAGTTTTGCTTCTCTGTTAAGCTGTGGAGCACTTCCTAATAAAACTTGACTGGGTCATTTTTAGAGCAACAGACAAGTTGCAGGTCAGAGGTTATGTTTAGAGGATAACATGAACTAGAAGTGGTAGAAGAAAGAGGTGGATCTGAAAACCCAGAAGAAACACTGTTCAGAAGACCAACATTCAGGCAGGAGGTTTCATTTAAAGTCTTCTGGTGAATTAAATACAAACATTGTCTAGCTTTGCTCTCCGGCAAATCTGGCAGACACATGACCACTGCAGCTTGCTTCCTCGAGCTCCACTTTAAATATCAGATGGGACTCTAAAAAGAAAGGGCCACAGAAGCTCTCACCACTTAATCTGCTATAGAAGGTACTGTAAGTTTATCAGGTCAGCTCCCTGCACTGATGTGTGTGGATTCCACCTTTCTTTTTAATAAAAGATTTGTGATTTATTTTCTTCCCTTTTGGGCCTAGTCTAAAGAAAAAAAAGAAAAGGGTCAGTCCACTTCTCTGTCTCGGAGGATTCATTCCTACTCCTGTTCTTTCTGAGAACATGGTCTGGAAAATATGGCAAGTAAAACTCCAGAGACAATATGAATAAAGCATCCTCAAAATCAGAAACAAACAAAAAAAAGACAGTTTGGAAGGGATTTGCTGATTTATCTGTCATTCCATCACATTTACACAAACCAACAAAAACCCCAAACAAACTCACATACGGACCTAGTTCCCTGTACTTTTAAACAGCGGAATATTCTTTTGTAACAGCATCTATTCCACTGCATTACTAGTGAAAAGTCTGAGGGCAAAGAATGCTAAGGCCATGCATTCACTGCTGCTTCATTGCACTTTTATTTTCCCTACATCCCAAACACTCCCAGCTTTAAATTAATGGACTTGATTAATCTTTGTTTTAAACCTTTTTAAACCGTCTCCAACAAAGAAAGCAAATCCATTGTGGGTAACTGGCTCTTCTGTGTCCTACTGCCAGATGGTGAGGCATGAAGGTAATGGATAATATTCCTCAATCCGGGATACGAAAACGCAAATGGAGTGCAAAGAGCAGAACCTTTTCAGGAATTTTAGATCTTCTCTCTTTGTGTCCTTCTCAGCAGCACTATAACATTTGGGTCAATGGATGACAAACGCCCCATAGACAAATTGAGAAATTATGAGAAGGAATTCATCAGCGCTTGAAGCTGTCACAAGTACTGAAAATTGTTTCAATCAAAAACTCAACACAGAAAAATTTAGATTTGCCCCCACTGGATTCCATCATGTGCAGAATGCTCTGGCACTAGCAATATCTTGACTCTCACCATCCAGACAATTTTAGGGTTGTTTTGTTAACTGATTAGCTACTTGACACAGTTGTGCAGAGCACTCTGCTCTTGTGACCTGTGCTTACCCTGGGTAGGCAGGGATGGCCGTGGGAGGTACCGCCCGGACTGCCCCATACACTGTCCTTCCTCGGCCCCTCAGATGGGCGCCCCGAAATGCGGCTGCTGTGGTGGCTGCAGTTGGATAGGGGAAGCCTGGAACTGTAAAGACAGACAAAGTGGAAGGTGAAAAGGATCTGAGGTCTTTCCCAGAGAACAACCACCTGCTTCAAACAAAGTGACACAATAGCTCCACAGCAGTGGGACGTTTTGCATCAATCCTGCAGAGGGACATGCTTATAACCCAGCAAGCATCCCATACAGACTTCCTTCTACACCATGGCCCTTTGTGGGGAGAAGGGTTGCAGAGAGGTTTGGCATGCAAGAGGTTAATGTTTTGGCATGCCTTACCCACCCCAAACAGGGTTCAAATCCCCCCACCTTCTGACACTGCCATGCAGTCTGGTTAGAGTCTGAGAAGCGCGGGGAGTTACTATCAATACAGCACGCGGTTCTTCCAAAACTGCAGAGGCTCTTTAAAATAATTGGTCAAGAGGCCCTTAAAGTCAACCAACTTACATCAGTCTCTTCCCTCCTTTCCCCTCCCACTCTTTGCCACCCAATCCTCTGTATGTTCATTTTAAAGCCTGAAAGACAAGATAGCCCATATAACAGCAGCAGAAATTTCCCATAAAGTGCCAGTTTACTGAGAGCCCACCTTCATTTAACAAGTGTGACCAATAACCAGCACCACATATAGTGATGCCTATATTACACTTTAAACTGGAGTAAACTGGCTCGTGATGAAATGACGTAAAACCTCACAGGCATCTGCAAACACGTAATAATCAGATACCGAGAGGGAACGAGTCCCAGGGCACAAACCAAACCCAACCCAACGTGCGTCCAGGTACATGCCACTAGGGGCCCTGCAGACTTGCGGTTTAGCAGCTTGTATAATATGTACTTTAGGGATTTGTCTGTTTGGTTTCTTCGATTTCTAAAGCGGGGAGGGGGGGCAAGGGAATGGCCTATTGCTCACACACACCCTCCCCTTGTTCTGCAGCTTCCTTGTTGTTCAGAAAGACACATTCAGTAGTACAGCAACACACTGCAGATGAACAAGTTACAGCAACTGCACAGTATACTTTGGCTCAAGGTGAACTCATTCCCAGTGAGACCCATCCTTTCAAGTATATATTATACAGACTGGAGAGAAGAAGGGTAACAGGTCATTGTTAACTCAAGCACAGTAACAACACAGGGGTCAACGGGGGTTACTTACTGATTAAAGGAATGTAAGTGTTAATACCCCCCCTTCCTGAGAGGGGCACTGCGGCGTCATTGCCGAGCGAGACATCTGCTTGAAAGCTGGACGCTATTTTAATTTTAAAAAGAATAAAAAAAGAAAAAACAAAACAAAACCATAAAAAGGTTATAAAGAAACAGCAGATTAAGAACATAAACAAACACCACTGCAGTTAAATGGCAGAAGTGGAAGTGTCTGCTTAAGCTCTACCTGCATATAACTCAGGGCCGTACACCGCTCCAACCACAGGACTCAACTTCCAACCTGAAACAACAAAGACTGCAGTGAATGCCAAAATCTACACCAAGAGAAGGAACGGGCAGCATGGGTAGGGGGAACAGTCTCTTGCATGCGGCCCCAGCTTCACATGCATAGCTCTTTCCAACTTCTGCTTCGCCTCAATCCCCCTTGGTGTAGATGGAGGCCAACTGCCTTTTTCTAATGTCAAGTTCTAGGTACAGGTCGCTGTATCAGAGGGAACAGCAAAACATCAGCTGATCCGAAGCACGGCAGAGGCACCGCTGAGGGAATGCCAACTGCCTTATACGCATATTCGCCGTGAGCACCATGCGACCTGGCATTCCCTGCTGAACCTTGCTGCCAACTCCTCCCTCCTTTACCAGGAACACCGCAGATCCAAGCCCTCTCTAAAGCCACTGGCCCAGACTGTCATCTCAGGCAAGTCAACCTATAGCCCTGAATTCTCAAAACACCGTTCTGTCTTGTTTCCTAGAGAACTGCTGAAAAATAACAGTGTCTGAATTTCCTCATTAACTGCATTACACAACTATGGTTCATAAAGCCTATTAGCATTCTGTTCATCTCACATTTTCTTCTCTCTGTTATTTTAGTATTTCCTGTCTTCTTTGTGCTGCTTTTCAGGTGAAAGCCTTCACAGAGAATTGATTTTAATATAATCTGGATAATTGGCAAGAACTGCAAATCATCAACATAAGATGATTCCCTACAAGAGAATAGGGTTAAAAAACTATGGGTATGAGGAGGAACGTATTTCCAGTCAGATCTAGAAACCTATCTGTCCTTTTCCCCTCCATCTCTCCAATAGGGGAGAGAAGGGGTGTAAAGCTAACAACATAATCTGGTTAGCTTCCACGAAGCATTCCTTTCAGGAAAGATCTCAGCTGTTCAGCTAGGAATCACACAGGCTTTATTATTTAAATAAATCCATACCCTTCCTCTGTCTTGGAGCCCTGGTGCACTTACTGAACTTTAACACCTCAAACCACTCTAGAAATCAAACTTTGTGAACTGCAGTCCATCAACACCACCCCTTCATCTGCTGGCAGGTTATCAATGAGAGATGCAGTGCAAGCTCCCTCTATAAGAACAGGCAGGCTTCTGTTGCACTGCCCACCCTGATGGCAAAATACTCCAGTGGCTGCAACAAGTGGACTGGGAATCAACTCTCAAATTGACTAACAGTTGTACACCCACTTGTCAGTATGCCCTAAGCCTGGCCTAATACTAAATACCTCTGCATAGCTTTGAAGCGAGCTTTAAACTCCTGGTTGCAAAAGCAAAATATTCTTGCCTCTTATCAGTTTCACAAGTACACCAAGTTCTGTTACCAGTCACATGCATGACACTTTATGCCCTTGTTTTCAGGACAATATAGCACGGTTGCATTGCCTTTTGCTACAAAATCCTTTCAGGTACTGAAACTCAGAATACCAGCCCTTTTGCCTGGCCCTGTTTCCCCAGCTCTGCACCCAAAATCAGATTTATTTGCCAGGAGCCACTCAACAGGTCAGCAGTAGAGGCACATATAAAATTTTTATCTTCTGACTTCAGAGCCTTATGTTATAATCAAAAAAGGTTCTCACACTAGCAACTAACTACCTGTACACAGTTTCCTGCCTTGCTGAAGCTGTTTGGGAACATTTTCAGACCAAAAAGAACTTGCCTGCCTGTTTCAAGACAAAGACTCAGATTCAAAATCTTTATCAAAGCAGCATTCATTTCTGCCGGGAGAATGACTTTTTATGCTATATATGCCTATGCAATAAAATTACTGTACAGAGGACCACCAAGATATCCCGATGAAACAGGATTCTTCATTATCCAAACAACTTGGCCTTTCTCTATTTAGGTTCACTAGAAAATTACTGAACACAAGCAAAATCTGTAACAAAAAGCGAGCACAGCAGCAGTGCAAAGCCTGTTTTCCTGGTTGCTTGGGGACAGCTATAGTTTTACAGACAGAACCTAAACTGAGATACAGCTAATTACGCATCTTAAGTTATGCTTCTGCATTCATGTTTAGGTATCTATGTGATGGCAATGAGACACAGGAGCACTGCATATCCCACTGTACAGCATCAGTTTGCAGTAGTAGGGCAGGCAACTCATCACTCCTTGGCATCTTCACTTAGCTTGGCCATGTCGGGCATATCCCTACTTCTCTTTGTCCCCACTTCTCCATCTGGAAAATGGTATTTCTCCACAAAAACTTTCAGGTTATACTGAAGAATAAATTAGGGTTTGTGGGGTTCTGTTGGTTTCTTTTGGTCCTGAGGAGAGGTCATGACTTTTCCCTTTCGTCTTTCTTCAAACGTTTCAGCTCATCAGTAGTACAAACAGTCTCTCTTACCATTTGCATAAGGTGTGACCATCTTCTTATTGGTCATCACTCGTGCAGTGGCGTTGTTAACCTGAAAGTAAGAAAGGGGAGGGGGAGGAGAGGGAAGGAAGCATAGGACGTTAGGGAAAATGGTGGAAAACCCAGATACCACACATACACACACACACACACACACTATACTTCTCTGAGCAAAAAAAATTAATTTTACATTAATGCGATCTTTAAATTACTTTTAACAGTTGCCATTTAATTATAAAAGTTACAGCTAAATGTGGCATTTTAAAATTATGCATTAAACAAAAGGCCAACGAGAGTAAAGTGCAGATTCTCCACCGCCCTGCCATCCTTCGGCACAGGATTATTTACAGCTCAGTGATCCAAAGGGCAAAACTTGATGTTTTGTCCAGGTTCTGTTCAAGAGGCAGCAATAATTTCTGCAGCCCAGGGCAGGAGAACTGAACCAGGTGACACACAAACTGACCTGTTTCTCAAGCTCACTGCTGGAATTGGGGCCCAGCAGGTCTCTGGCAGGCATGCTTTTGGATAGAAAAAGGTAGCTTGGAGTCCATCAGCTTTAGATTTGAACTCCCAAGACTTGAGGAAGTCTCTGGAACACCACGAACTGTTTGGACGGTCTATATTCACTGATTTCTTCCCCAAAATCTTAAAATCTTTTTCCAGATTATTTTTTCCTTGTCACATATCTCACAGAGCAAAAAGAAGAAATATATAGCAGCAGACCTGGGTCTTTTTTTGGTTTTATTGTGTCCTCCACCCTCTTTGCAGAGCTCTGTATAGTTCCAAGCAGTTTGATTGCTCAAGCAAGTGGGGTGTTACCACAGAGATGGTGCTGGTAAAGAAAAGATGGACTAGTTTGGAAGCCAAGTTACTGCAGCCCTGTGTCAGACAGCCTCAAAGTTCCTGCAAGGAGGGTGAAGTCTTTATGTATCATCAATAATTTACCAAAACCCATGCCAAATGTGAATTGAGGTCAGGGTGAAGAAGGAAAAAAGTGGATATAAAAATAAAAGCTGCCTCAGGCCCTTGAGATGTATGGATGGCGAGCATACACAGGGTGGGGAGTCCAGAGCTACATTTTACTCTTGTTTCAGCCCCAAAACAATAGAAACATTACACATTTAAAAAGAGAGAATGGGAAACAACAATGATGAGACTGAGAGCATGCAGTTAAACACACACAGATAAAAAAAAAAGAAAAAAAAAAACACCACAATTGATTCAGAGGGTGGGGAGGGGAGGAGTGAGGGGATAAGGTCTCACAAACAATCATTTAGATGGAGCGAGTGCCTGAAATCAGCTGCTACAGCAAAGTGCAACACAAGCACTTAAAGGAAAAATTGCCAGAACCGATCAGAAACCACCAGTCAGCAAAGAGACCAACAGCTGCATTTAACTTAGTAAAGAAATAAACTGGGGAGGGGGGAGAAACAAAAAGAGAGAAAACAAACAGTAACAGCTACAAACAGGTCTCAGATAGAAAGAGCAGCAGAAAGAAGGGGCAGGAGAGAGAAGAGGAAATGGGTGCATTAATAAAAACCAGCCAAACTGGAGTTCAGTAACTCTGAGTAAGATGTGCAAGGGGAAATCACCATGAAGTCAGTAATCAAACAGCTCAGACTGCTACAAAACAATATGTACATCCAAAGTCCAGGCGGCATTACTCAACAGCATTGAAAATAAAAGGGGGAGAAGGGGGAAGGAGGTGGGTGGGGACAACAAGTCAAATCACATTTCGTAGTGTTAATGTGAGATGGCAGATGGATTTTTTCTTTCTTAATTTTTTTTGTAATTTTAAGAAAAATTTAAAAAAAAAAAAAAGAAAAAAGCTTCTTCTCTAGCGCTTTCGTTTCACTTACCGCCAACTCGTACCATCGCCAGCATTGTGTATAGTTACCATGGAAAGAGTGAGTCAAGTGAAGGGCCCTAAACGCTAAACCATCGGAAAGGGAAATAAAAAAACAAAACAAAAAAAAAAGCAAAATATGCAGACATCTTACTCAAAAACGGTGGCTTTTTCTGTTTCAATATTCTTACTTTTTGGATTTTTGTTGGGGTTTTTTTGTTGTTGTGGTTTTTTTGTTTTTTTTTTTTAAGAAAGAGGGAGAGACGGATGATGCCAGTTAGCCTTCAACACAGTGGAACACCAAACTGGTCAACACCAGGCATGCCCAACATCTGGCCACGTTGGCCAGCCACACATTAACCCTTCCCTCCCCTGTGGCGAGAGCTAGAAGCTTTAAGGATTAGCTTTCACCGAGCCTACTTTTGACCATGGGCAGGTCAAGAAACCAGCAATGTGTATAGCACAGCCCACTTGGGGCTTCTGCCCCCATGTCTCCCAAACCCTCCCCACCACAGGCATCATCTCACACTTGCATGGAGGAGAACTGGCCTCAGAGGAAAGAGAGGATACTGACTGGCCCCCTGCTTTCTTTTTTGGACACAGAGTTAGAAGTTGGACAGTACTCTTTCAGTTAGTTTTGTTCAGGCCTGGTAACAGGAAATCGGAGCCTCGCAAACTGAAGCAAAGGAAAAATCAAGACAGCAGAAGGGCAAAAATTTGGAGTGGGTGGGAATAAAACATAATAAAAGAAGAAAGAAAAGAAAAAAATACCCAAAACAACAATAAAAATATTCTGTAAAGGGTGTAAACTTCTATACATTTCAGTGCAGGGAGGTGAAGGACACAGACACAAACACACACGCACACACGAGACTGGGATCCAAATGTGAAATAAGTGAGGCAAGACACAAAAAGAAATCAAAAGAATAAATATAAAGAAGAAATTGAATTACTGAAGACATGCACCTCGATTTTACGGCCCTCTACCACGGTGCCGTGTAATTTCTCCCTGGCCCTGTCTGCATCAGCACTATTCTCGAAAGTTACGAACCCGAATCCCTGCATGCAGCGGGAGAAGGGGGGAAAACATGCACATCGTTATATATTGAAATACTGATCTCTAGGTAAATAGAGAAAAAATATCACAGTATGAAATCAACATCAGCACAACTCAGCAATAACCTCCTAGAGTCACATTGTTGGTTCATGCATGTTTCATAAATGAAAGAAATTAAATTCAATAAAAAAAGGAACCGTAATCATAATAAGAATAATAAGAGTAATTAAAAAAAAAAGAAAACATAAAAGCAATTGAGGCCAGACCAAAAAAGAAGTACAAAGTTACTCGAGACAATTTTTCATTTTGTTTTGTTTTCTTTGGGTTTTTTTTGTTTAAAAACACTAAACCCTGCTCCAACATAGGTAAGCTGGTCAAGCCCAAGCAGGGCTTCTCTCCCCTCTGCTAATGAACACATGCTTTGCAGGACCCCCACCCACCCCAACACAGTACAGGACATTGAGCAGCACTTTGTTCTCTTGAGAAACTGCTACAAGAGTAAGCAGCAATCTGAGTTCATGCCTGGCACCAGGAAGTCTGCGAAGCTTTGGGCAAATCAAACACTGAACCTTGCTTTTTTCACCTGTAAAATGGAGACAATAATAATTACCTACCTTAGAACACTGTTGAGAGGAAGGGCTCTTTGTAAAGCATCCCTTGTAAGCTCTTCAGGGCACAGCTCATGTCTACTCCTAAACCTGTAACTTCCCTAATGACATATGAGACCCTGAAAGTAAGCAGGGCTTCTAGGTGGCACCATCAAATAACATTACTTAATGTGAAGATTTAGAGTATCACATACTGTAGTGTCAAAATCTTCCCATCTCTGAGTACTGTGTTGGACTTGACTGTAAATCTAAACACCTAAATACCAATTCAGTGGTCAAGGCAGGTTTTGTCTGACACTGCTGACCCACTGCTACCTCCCTCCTACCCTGCTACCCACCTTACTTGGCTTTGTTCTGAGATGGCAACCTCTGGGCTGTGGATAGCAACAGATCTCTGCCTAGTTAGACCAGAAAGTTTCAGAAAAACTGACATGTCCTGCTTGGCGCAACCACAAAGGCCCAAGGACTGCCAAAACGTTGCTTTAGCTGGACGAATTTAGGTTTACCGCATCCATGAAGGCACATGCAACACGCCTGTCCTACATGCTCATGCTGCTGCCAACTCGTGCAGCAGGGCAGGGTAAGAGATCATGCTTCCTTCCACAGAGATGAATGCACTGACATTAAAGAGAGAGCCAACATGACTAAGTGAATTAGGATTTTAACTAGTAACAAATGGCATCTTAATAAGGACAACTGTGATGAGATACTCTTCATGCCATTACAGAGAGCAGACACAAATGAAAAATGTTGTTGCATTCTGCTTTTAGGGTATCTTAAGAACAGAAGTAATTGGCTCCTGTGGCTTGGTATAAAGCAAATACTGATTTAATGTACTGGTTTAATCTCCACTAGCTTCAATACCCTCAGGAGCAGAACAACAAAGCTTACATTTGATGCAATGGAAACTCACAATGTTCATTGAAAAGCAAGGTGATGAGAGTGATCTACAGCTATGCCTGTCAGGGAAATGGCATGCTGGCCACTTGGCCTCCTCCATGCACCTTGGGGTCCCATAGGTATGGACTGGACACCCCAAAAAACAGACAGCATAATGATTTCTAAGCATTGTTAGCAATGAGACACAAGCAAGCTATTATTCTTCAAGTGTTTTTTAAAGGTCTTTACAATACTAATCAAACAGTCCAAGCCATTTGACAAGCTGGCTTTTACAACCCACAGCTAGGTTTCCAGCACAAAACTCTTACACATTTGTAAAACAGAGGGTTGGGGTTGTTTTTGTTGTTGGTTTGTGGTTTTTTGTTGGTTTTTTTTGTTGGTTGGTTGGTTGGTTTGGGTTTTTTTTGGGGGGGGAGGTTGGTTTTTTTTTTTTAACTTCCCTCAAACCTTGAACAGCAATAATAAAAAGAACTTAGCCAAGTAGTGCAATGTTGAGATCAACAAGAGTGCTCCTTTGGGCTCCAACCCAATAATCTACAGCTTCAGATAATTTCATTTCTCCAGCTATAAATAAGGAGCTATATAAATATCAGACTGATGCCTTTTTCAGAACAGCATAAAAGTTTGCTGTTTAAATGATTTAAAATCAGAGCCACAGACACAGGAGCTAATAAAACAGCCCAACTGCATATAACTCTCAAATATGTCACAGAGAACCAAAGGGGGTGCAGGGGGTGTAATAGCAAAGCTGATTATGAAGGAATAGGGCATTGTGTCTGCTTCAAAGCACCCCTACAGAGAAAGGCAAGCCTGAGAAATAGAGCAACACCTTTCCCTCTGGTTCTGTATAATGGGGAAAAAGTATCTTCTAAAGGCTGGAGGAGGAGGGGAGGTAAGGACTGCAACACGAATCTCTATTTCCCTCTTCTCTTTTTACATTAAAATTTCTGTTTGTTCTAGACAAGCCTGTGGAGACTGAATGAAATTTATGTCTTCGGTGATGATGTGAACTGAAAGCTGGAGTGCAGATGGAAGGTAATTTTTTAGACATTAAGCTGTGCAGGCTAGAACCAAACTAAGACTATTTTAATTCACATCTGCTTGCAATTAGTGAAGTCTGTATGGGTTTTTAAAAAACTACATTAGCATTAATTATCTTTAAACTGAGTAGGAATTTTCAGTATTTTTATTAAGTTGACTCAAGGTAGCATACAATCCACATGCAGACTATAGGAATATAATTAACAATGTGAATTAAACCAGAATTAATCTGATTCAGAACAACATAACTAATTAACCATATTGACAGATCAGTCCTTAGCAACTCACTTTGTTGAGAACCATTTAATGTCAATGCTGAATTAATGCTTTATATAGTTGACTATGGCAGAGTCAGTATTTGTGCCCTCTTGGTTTGTCATATTAATGCACCTCTTACACATTCAAATTTTCATCAGGAAAAATTTGAATGCTTGACATTTTTGTTATTTCAAAGTTTAAAAACTAGCAATTATATATATATACACATATTTTTGATGTGGGAGAGAAAAAAGCACATACATATACTTTTTTTCCTTCTCATAGATGACCTGTAAAGAATAGGGATTAATTTGTAACTAAACATATACAACAAACAATTCTCAGTTTTCCCTCCTCAAGGTTGTCTTGACCTTGGAAAAAAAAAAGAAAGAAAGGAGGAAGGAAAAAAAAAGAGATGGCAGGTATCCAATATTTACTAGCTTAGCTTTATAGCAGGTACTGGATTGCTCCATAGTAGTAGGTATGGAGTCAGAGGAAGGGAAGATCCTGGATAAAAAAAAGACTTAGGGCTTCTAAAATTTAGATTATACAAATAGCTTGGGTTTAATAATACTGTTATGATAACAAGGCTGAAATTTTCAACAATTCCTCCCCATCAGTAACTGCCATGAACTTCTCCCAAGCAGAAAATAAGTTTGACCCAGCGAACACTAAACTCCAACAACATTTTTAGGATTAGTGAGTAATTTGCAGTACCAGACTAACCCCTTTTTACCCAAAGGTTTATTGAAAGGGCCTGAAGAGACCGAGTAACTGCCACCCTTTTAGTCTGGCCTCAGACTCTGCAATAAATAACAAGCAACATGATGAGCAGTGAAAAAAAAAATAATAAATGTATATATAGTATTTGAACGTTTCCATCTCTGAAGAATGAGAAAGAAAATTTACCATGTAACCGTAAAGGGAGAAATCAAAAGCAGACGGTTCTCCTGGGTGTGGCCAGAACACAGAAATTAAACAAAAAACAACAACAAAAATAAAATAAAGTAAAATAAAAAAATAAAACCAAAGAAAACTAAACAGAGCCCCTTGAAATCCATGCACTGTTATCCCTTTGTTTGTCATGGAGTTTAGACCAGTCACCCCAGCAGCAGCATCTTTGCCTTGTACCACTGGAGCACACAGCCAGCAACCAGCCTTGCTGTCATCTGCTGCTGTGCTTGGTTCAAACCAAGTTTTTTTCTTTTGTTTCTTTCCCCTTATTTCCATAATAAACAAACTTTTAGAAGCCTGAAAAAAACGGCCAAAGAGGCAGCAGTTTAGGCTACCTGTTTGCAAGACATTTGGAAAGACTAGGAGGGTTTCAGCTATAATCCACCTGAGATGAGCAGGACTGAATGCACCGACAGCATCACACCAAAAAATCCAGAAAACATGTTACTGAAGTCACACACACAAACACACCCTTCAATTGGTGACAATCAGCATAAAACAAGCTGCCACCATTTCAGCAGCTCTTCCAGCTCCTCCCTGCCCTGTGCCTCACTTCGAGTGCATTAAAGCATACGTGTAAAACACCCATCTGCGTACCTGTGTGATCTGGTGAGGCAGATACAGGAATTAATCTGGTTAAAAAAAATGTAAATGTATCTTCAAAAAAACCCTGCGGGGCTATTTTTAAGCTGTATCATTTCCACAGTCCAGCTTGTGTCGCTCCACTGCCGATCCCTGCTGCAGAACAGAGGAGGGGGCAGAGGCCAGCAGTGGGCAGCGGGAACCCAGCTAGCACTGCTGTGCAGTGAGAGCTTGGGGCTTCAGGGCAGCTCCAGCCAGCCCAGGGCAGCTCCAGCCAGCCCAGGTCAGGGGCTTCACGGCCCACGTCATCCCTGGCTGTGTGCTGCTCCTCCTCCCTTCAATCGATCGTGGATCTCACTGTGTGGTCTGTGAGTTCAACAGGCTAAACTGGCTGAAAACAAGCTTATTTCTGTCTCTGTCTTCCTGCTGCATCAGTATTTTGCCAATTTAGCACCCTAGATTCAATTCCCTACACAGTGAAACGAGTACTCCTGGGAAGGTGCTCCCACAGGAGCAGTAAGCCAGCTTATACTATGAAAACATCAACTTCAGCCTGAAATTCAAGTTTAAATAAACCAGTTCGGTGTATGGACTAATTTAACTTGTTAGTTTAGTATTGCAGACTTCAAGGCATAAAACTACTTCAGTGAACTAGGATAAGGGGACACCAGTCACATCTCCTTCATGCCACTGGCACTCTAACGGGATTTGGTGACCTGAGAAGGTCATGCTGGTTGCCAGTACCTAATTTGTTTTTAAGCCTCTCTGTGTTAACAACACAATTTGTATTTCTGGCTCAACTGATGAAATCTGAACAAAATTTATAAAAATAGAATTAAAATGAAAATAAGACCTCTAATTCATTTCATGTAAGAAGGGGCTTTCCACTGACAGGAAACTAGGCCCAGAACAAGAGTGGCTCAACTCAAAGCACCTAATCCATTAAAAGAGAAGTAAATGCACATGTAAGCATACAGTCTTTAAGGCTTAATTATCAAAACCCGTATTCATATTTTTATCTTAACTTACAGTTAACTGCAAACATAAAATCCCACACAGCTTCCTGCACAAGCTTTTAGTTAGGACAGGTTTACTTACATAAATCCAAACGCCAATAGATGCAATTTCTTTGTGAAGACAAGATGTAACCTATTATACAACTAAGTTTTTAATTAAATATGAAGCACTTCAAGTCACTTCAGTCCTGTACAGGAACTTGGAGATCTGGATCTTCCAAGTGGAAAGCAGTGAGGGACAAACTTACAGTACCCTGAAACCATGAGCTCATCTGCACTGATATGAACTCTTATAATTTAAAAAGCTACAAAAAAAAAAAAAAGCTCCCTATTCAGCTAAGATTTCGCTATGTGCTTATGCACTCTTGGTCTCTGAATGTCATCGAGGACACATCTTGGAATGCCACATGGTACACAGCTGATGAGTAAAGAGCTTGGATTCCCTTCCCCTGCAGCTTTATGAATGCCACAGGGTACTCGTTACACAGGCAGACTGCATTAATTCGGCAAATATGTCCACTTGTTCAGTTCAGCACAATAGTGATAAAATACGCATCTAGAGGATGCATCTCCACTAACAAAACGAGCAGGAATCCTCTCATCTTCCTCTGGAGGTGTTTTATTCATGGTTCAGTGAAGTGCATGGTAAACTGCAACCATGGGCAGAATGCTATTTAAAGGCACTTGATCTGAGTCAGAACTAGAAATGTAATGGTAAACAGGATAAATTAAACAAACAGCTAGTTTCCTGGAAGCAAGCAAAAAAACCTGAAACAGATCAAGGGAAGACTTATTCTTGTTTAATAGAATGACATCAAACAAAATTAAATTCAAGGGATGTTTAAAGTTTGTATCTTCTTTCTTATACACAACAAAGCAATATAAGTGTAAAGTCTGCCAGGGCCCATATAATCCTACTGAACAGATTGAATCTGGGAAGAAATTGAGTTACAAAACAAGAATTCACATTGCTTTGAAAGAACAATCAGCAAAACTAATTATTAACTGCCTCCTACTCTGCTGTGATACAGAAAATCAACAAATAACACTTCTGAGAGAACCTGAGGCTGTGGTGGACACACTCTGCTCTCTCTTTGGTCACCAAACTTCCTAAGTACACAGAGATCCTGAATATGCAGCCAGTTTGATAGTTCCCCCAGGCTGTCGAAGAAAACTGCCCAGTCATCTCAGGTGGATTCAAAAGGAAGAATGCAACCAGCACACTTCCTTCAGTCCCTCCTACCCACCAGCGCTGGAGTGATCCCAGCAGAGTTCTCCTGCTACAGCTTGGCAGGGACAAAGCGCTGCTCGACCCCATCGCACGCTGGGTGGGGACGAACCCAGGGCAGTTTGGGATTCACCACTGTACCTTTTAAATATTTACAAAACATATACACAAAACTCTACAACCCTTAGGAACCCGGGGAAGGGAAGGGAGCATTGAGAACACAGCACAAGGCAGGCAGCAGGAGCATCTGCTTTCGGATTCCCAAGAGAGAGGAGGAGAAGAAGAAGAGAGAGAGGTTTCATATCATTAGATTAGAATGGAAACCACAGGGCAGGAAAATGCATTCAGAATTTTTTTCCTAAGGTGGAGGAAGAACCCAAGAGTGAGTGAGCGGCCTCCAGAAAGATCCATTTCCTTTGCTTCACCATCAGATCACCAAACTGTTGTTTTTCCATTATTACGTGAATACCAGGTGCTTCGTGCAGCTACACCCCACTCAAACACTGGGGCCTCCCATTTTCACGCTAAGCAGGAAGAATCTTGCATTCTTTTTAGAACAGGAATTACTTTGGGTAGAGAAGGATGCAGAGATACCATGAAATAACTCTTTGGTTGTTTTCTCATTCTGTTCAGATTCTGCCCCATCCCTCAATACAAGCTACCAGTTTTGTAACTGCTTTTTGCTGTAAGATGACAAAAAAGCAGTAGAAAACTGCATGGTCAAGGACTGGAAGAACATCTCTGCTTTTTTTTTTTTCTCCGAATATTTATGAAGGGTTCAGGATAAAATTTGTCATGGAACTCTTCAGCAGTAATTTTTGTTTTAACTGAAAACCGGAAGCCTTGGGCTTTAGCAACTGCACAAGAAGGTACTTTTTGTAATAATAAATCAAGTCTTCATAGAAAAGTCTTCTATGTCAATGTTGCCTAGAAGGGAAAGGGCAGCCGTGGGTGTTTAATACACAGGGCTGCATGGATTGGAGAGAGAGAGTGAAGTTCATGTGTGGAGAGGAAAAACACTGCTCTGGAAGGCACAGGCAGTGGGGTATGAAAGATAGAGCTCACCCCTTTGCCAGGCCAATTACTTTTGCTCTTTCTTTTGCAATAATATCCAAATAAGTAGGGATTTGATAGAGACCAGAGGCTATTCCCAAAGCCAAACAAAATTTACTAAAATCAAGAGTAATTCAGAGATAGCTTTGGCCTATAAATATCAAAAGAACAGCAGAGTGCAGAATAAATATTTACAAACTCAGCACAGCTGATTGTTTTGGTAAAGCATATAGATTTTTATCCATTCGTGGAAGAAAAACACTCTAACTAAATCATATAGATATTTACTTTTTCAGACTGTCTTGTAAAAAATCAAAACAAAAGAAAACCATGGTATTAAGCACAAATAAAGGATGGGAAAAGGGCTAAGACTCATTTATTTAATATAGAGATCAATGGCTTTCTGGTTTCCAGCTAATACAGAGACTGAAGAATTTCAGAATGCATGTTGGGCAACATGGGTGGAAATTTGCAGAGAACTCTGAACATGAACATACCCCAGAATATATGTTGAAGCAAAGAGGCCACCATAAAGACTGTGAACCTCAAATCCAAGCAAAAGGCATAGACTATAAACTGAAACTGCTTAGCTGATTTGCAACTTCAAAACTTCTTGTGTGCATGCACACATGTGCACACACGTGTGTGTGGGGAGGAGGGAAATTTTGTTTTAATTGAAAATGGGAATCTTAGCATTGATTAAGTCAAGCAGAGTATAGACATGCACTGTGCAAGCTGCCCCCATAGAGCTTTGGCAATGCACCTTGCTCCTGACCTGCAAAACTCCCTGCTATTCCAGTGCTGAACCTCCTGGGCAGAGAGAGAATCACATCAATTTGTCATTGTGGTGATACCGGTTATGTGATGAGAACCAATTGCCAATTAGGACAGAGATCACTGAATATCTCTGCAGCTGACCTAAGCAACATCTGAAATCTCATCTTCAGAGAGATAAATTACCATTAACCCTCAACAAAACCTCCCTCTTAATATATCTGTAAGATGAAAATAGGTGTATGAATGCAAATTCTGTGGGGGAGGTCCATATGGGGCAGGGCAAGTGGAATGAGGATACTTAAATTAAGCATCAAATATCTCAAACATGAAAGGTCAGTGCCTCAGAAGCACCAAGTAAGTCTACAACACAGAGTAAATAAAATCCTTTCACATATGAGATATGACAGTTTTCTACAGAACTATTTTAATGCAACGAAATGGGGGGATGGGGGTGAGTTAGCCTTTTTCTTACAGTCTCCCATCACACAAAGCTGCTTTATCTTATTCTGCCTTCCCCACAGAGCAGCCATTGCTAGTGCAATGGGAACAGCTTGGTATGAAGGTTCAATTGACTGACTCCCTGTTTGTTCAAAAGGCTGTGGAACCTGATCACACATTACAGACAGGAGTGTCCAGGAGCATTTGTACATGCTGCCCAGAATTGACCATGCTCAGAGTCTCCAGTCAGAGGGAACAGGAGACAGTCCCCAAAATAGCTTTTCCCTTCCCCCATCACACTAATTCCTGCTGATCTCTACAGAATATATTCTCTAGGCAATGAACTGCCTTTTACCCTGCAATCAAATCAAGAGAAGCGGGTACAGAAACAGGACTTACCTTCGAGCCACGCTCATTAAAGATTATCTCTACATCAAGGATTTTGCCGAATTGCTGCAGAGAGACAAGGGGGAAAAAAAAGATTTATTTTTGGCAATTCGTTTTTTCTACCTTTTTGGACCTGGCTTAGTGCAAGAAGGGAGGTGAGAATATTTCCATTTCTAGCATACAGGCAAAGGAATAAAATCCCAGTGACGTGACCCAATTCTCTTGGGTTAAGACATGCAGATCCTCTTGGTAGCAAACACCAGGTTTTCTCACAAAAGTCTACAGGAAGAAAAACAATCTCCAGAAGAGTTTCAGGGATTTGAGGTATCTCATCTTTCCTGCTTTTAATCTAAACAATTCTTTCTTCCCTCATTCTACTATTTCATCTACAACATCTCAGGCATCTAACAACATTTCTAACATGTAATTCAGCATTTCAGCTTCCTCCTGAAGTGGCTATCACAAAGAGAAACCTAACAATGATGTTTCTCTGGAAGGGATAGTAACATCTCCCAACCTCAGAGATTCCAAACTCTGAATCTCCTTTCCTCTTATTTACCAAAACTCCAAGCCTTTAAAAGAATTGATGGCAGATTCAGAAACCACAAAAATGGCAAACTCCCAACAGTCTGTTTTTCAGAAAAAAAATAATTCAGCTTCAACCTGTGACATGTTGTTGATGGTCTGTGCAAGTCTACCACATGTGACAGAGTTCTGACCTCTGTCTCAGCTTGGACACCCTAAGGAGAGCTTTGGGTTCAAAAGAGTTCCCTATTTAGCACAGAACACAAAATGGAAAACAAGAGTTACATCATAGAAAGGAGATTTACCACCTCTGTGGAATGACATCTTTCATCTTGCTTGAAACATATTAAAATATTTCTATTGAAGTGGCCAGACTCAAATCAGTAACCTAGAGCAAAAAGCATCATCACTTCAGAGGCCCCTCTGTCTTCGAGAATTGTCATGGCTCTATTTCCAAACTGGAGGTCTGCTCTCTAGAAAGACAGGTCTAGATGTCATTTTCAGGAGCCATGTATATAAGTAGTCTTCATTCTAGAGAGACATACTGTGCTCAGACAAATGCTACATCTGAGTGTTTTTCCTATCCCATTTTTTAGGAAAGCTTCCAATGACATCGTTTTGATCTCACTACTTGCAAAAGTTTGGTAGCATATAAAGGAAGAGTCAGCAAGAAAATAAAGGTGATGAACACAGCCTCCAGGCACTGGGACACTCTCTCTCCCTTTTGCCTGTTGCTCTTAATATAGTATTTGCCTTTTTTTTTTTAATTAACATTTGCATTCAGAGTCAAATGGGTAAAATACTCAGTTTGTGGGAGTCCTGCTTGAAAGGCTCGTGGCTAGCTTTGAAAACACGGAACATTTATAACAGGGAGCCATGATGGCTGAGCAGAAGTTTTGAATACGTAAAGCAACAAAAAGCTATTAAGTTCCTTGAACAAGTATTCCACAACTGTCTGCAAGCAAGCAAACCCCTTCCAACAATTTTAGCTATAGTTTCTGTCTGCTTCCATTCTCCAGTCTTAAAAAGAAGATCTTGGTTCACAGATGTTGTTTTTGCTGTTCTATTGTTTAAGGACAATACTTGATCTTCTATTCATCACAAGAACAATTGAATTCACAATATTCCACGTTACATGAAGTTTGAATAATGCTAATGTAAACACGCATCTTCCTTGAAAGGAAACCTCAACATCTCAATAGCTTAGGCTTGATCCATGCTGGATCCTCTTTTGACTGCGGCTGTGCCAATCACCGCTAAAATACATTTTCTATTTCTATCCCACGCTTGGCGTGGGCTTGTCAATAAAGAAGATTAACCGTTGATTGCTTTTTATTGTCTTTGTTGCATATGGCTTGGGCACTGCCATGAAAGAAATCAGTTATGATTGCTTTCCTGGTAGACTATTCCAGCGTCATTACATGCCATGGGCTGAACCAATTAAAAGCTCGTGGCTGCGGAATAGCTGTCTCTGCTCCCTTGTCCTTCCTTGTCTGGTCTCACCAGCCTCCTAGAGATGGCCTCAGTTTTCATTCTCACCTGTAGATAAACTGTACAGCTCAATGATTCTGTAAAAACCTAACCCAACAAAAGGAATAAATACAAAGCTTTTTTTGACAATTTACTGATCTGTAGTGGCTTAAAGGGTCAGGTGAGCATTAGGGCTCTAAGAAGCACAAGGGATCCTGAGAGCAGGATCTGTCCCCTGCCACATCACCTCAGCTGCCTAGCGTTGCCATACACACACTCAAACAGCCAGCCTCTCGATAAATGCAAGTGCCAAAATTATTTTCAGAATCTTCAAAGCCAAAATCACCATTCTACCCCGTTAGAATCATCCTGAAAGCAAACAAACTGTGCAGCTTCTGGTGCACAATTACGCCATGCCATCTTCCCTTTTCTGCACACCCAGCTGGGCCTGGATCCCCAGGTAGTACTACCAGCACTGCCTCCCAGTCCCATTGGGCTGAGTTCCTCCCACAGGGTTTCCACACCAACAGGAAATCCTGTCTTGTGTGTTTAACTTCTTGTGGCTGACAAAATGCTGATGGTAACATTGAACACACATGGTCTGACCCAGCTCTGTGAGAGGCGGCAGGTTTGCCTCCCTGCCTAGCAGATGATGGAGGTACGTAATTTCCTAGATGACAGACTTAAGATCACTAAATCCTGTGGCTGCAGCAAGCACAGGCTTGACATCTATTGTAATAGACTACATCCACCCATGCAAACTGCCCCAATCTCTTTTCTGCCTAGGAGTTGTGGGTGTTTGAAGAGGCAAGAGGGAAGGACCTCCTTCGGAGAGAACAGACAAAACGGGGGCTAACTGCTGAACTGAGGTTTGCTGGGGAGGGGCTTCCAACTCCATGAAAATCCCTGGAAGAAAGCAGCATGACCATGAGGCAGTTGGATGTGCCCAGGGCTCTTCAAGGCTCTGCTGTTGCCATTGCAGCTGCTCTGACAGCTCCTAACACCATGACTCTTGTCCTTGCTGCTGCAACAGTTACAGCAGATCCAGCACTGGAGGCACTTTTTTCTGGTAGCATGCCAGAATTTTCCTGAAGAATGGAAGCAGGGAAAAAAAGAACTAGTTCATTTTAACAGTGTATATCTCCTTCAAAGCTGAATCTAATTTAGTGGAACATAAAAAGGCACTTTGTTCTCCGATGGTGCTTTGCCTACCAAATGTCAACAGTGCAATGCAAACAATGGAAGTTTTAAGAGCTCCTTACTGAAAGGTCACAATTTTTGTATGGAAAATGGTGGGCCATCTAAATACAAGGGTCAACAACAAGTGCCCTCCATAATAATTTTTTTAAATCATGTATACAGGCATGTTTCTATGTTCCAACAGACAGAGGGGTCTAGCCAAATGAAACAAGTCCCATGCTTAAGTCATCCCTGAGGACTAACCGTCTAATCTCTGACCCTGAAGACATGAGTCACTGGGCTGATAGACTTGACTGGCTCATTCAGTGATTACCAAGAACTTCTGCTTAGAACCCTGCACAGCCTCTGGAGAAGGCATTGCATGCTCACCACCATGAGTTAAAAAGCTTGCTATGTGACCGAGAATCCAGTATTTCCCCACCATATATCAGGTTGTGCAAGAAGTCACCTCCATGAACTGCTCATGCACATGCCATATGACAGAAAGATATACACAAACACACTCTTCCAATTATGCCATGGCATAGGAGCTATAGCATCTTGTTTTATCTTAGTGGTCCCTTCCCTGGAGTCCCTTCCCTGAAAGCTTGACAAGCTTTCAGTTATTTTCCTGTAAAGCAGATAAATGAAAAATCAGCTCCACTACAGTGGTAGCAGGGAGTGATAGAAGTAACAGTTTTTAAGAGGCATAAAAATAATAACAGACATGAGTTATGACCAGAATCCAGTTCTCTTGTTTGAACATCTACCTTATCATTGATGCAAGGGCATTGTGCAAGTAAAGGTATATGCATGCTGTGTGTTTCTTTCCACCCAGATGACATGAAGGCAACAGATTTTTCCAGCTGAGGCCATAGCTACATTCAGTATAATAAATTTGAGAGATCTGGCACCCGAGAGCTTTTGCCTTCCAAGGCACTGACAGTTTGGTAATGCCCCTCCTGTATGCTCTGTTCCAGCTGGCCCTGCCTCCTCTCCCTGTCTAGAGCTTTCAAAATCAGCTCCAATGTGCCAGACAAATAACTTAATCCTAAGGATGCAAACAACAGGGAGTACAAGGCAAATTCTCTAGAAATCATGGAGCAACAAAAGGTAATGTAAGACACCATGTGACCACATCACATCTCTACAAGAGAACTCTGTAGCCTTACAAAATTCACTTAGAGTCCAGTGAGCTATCTAAATCTCAAAGGTGTCAAACAATCCATTCTTAAAGATGGTCAAAATTCAAAACAGCCAGGAAACCAACCTCCTGTGCAGGAAACTATTTCAAGTCCTCAAGCTTGAGATGCATGAGCAAGAGCACTTCGTAAGCAGAATAGGTCCATGCTGCAGAGAGTGTCCTTTCCCTAGCTCCTAGTTCCATGGGATATACTTTCAGCTGAACACAGCTGGCTCCATCCTAGCCTGTATTAGTCAGTGCTTAATTATGGCAGCATGGGGTCTGCCAGAGCTATGCTGTTATCAGTACACGAACTTCCTCACGCAAAGCTGAGTCACATGTCTTCAAACAGTGGGGCCAACCCTGTTCAGCCAAGCTACACCAGTATGTTTTACACTGACAGGAAGATGGAAGCATGGAGCATTTATAGACCAAAGCACTACCACAGTTTACCAACTGAACAGATAATAAGCAAGCACCAAGCAGCCCTTATTTGGGTTGACCTGTTGCTCAGCAAAACATGCATTTTCTAAGAAACCAGACTTTAACAAGAAGCCACTCAAAGAGCACAGATTTCTTACAGGATTTACAGACCATAGATATCCCAGTAAAAATAAAAAAAAAGGTGACAAGGAATACAGCTTCTCAGTAATTTCTTATCCTCTGACTCGCAAATAGAAGATTTTCACATGAAACACTGAGACAGGGG